GAAGCGACACGCAACAGAGAGAAATTTCAACATGGGATAAATTAATATATTTTTTCGTACATAATCGGTTATCCGAAAAATAAGTTATCCGAACCACCCCAGTCCCCAATTGATTCGGATAAACGACGCTCTACTGTAAATTGTACTGTATATTTGTTATTTTAAATAAAAACTTTTACAATAATGAAAGTACTTTTGTATTTTATAGCATGGTTTAAAAATATCTTTCTTAGAACAATTCTGTACTTGTATTTATTTTTATAATCATTAAAAAAATTTCTTCATTTGCATAAGGAATAAATAAATTTTATCAGATATTAAATATTAATATTAAACTGACCATATATGTATAGAAATTTATGTCAAGTAATCACTTTGCACAACCACTACTATATAGTATTACTATGATAATATGCATTTTTAATATTTCCATTTAGGCATTTGTTTTCACATATTATTTGTTCATCATAGAAAAATACAGTACACAACTAAAGCAGTGCTTTTTCTGAGAAGGACAATGTAAACTATAAAAGATAAGTTGGGCCAAAAAAGATATAGTCAAAGATTAAAATTTTTATTTCTAAATAAACAATTTACATAAATCAATGTTAAATTTGCAGCTACTTTTTTAAAAAAAATGTCATCAAAATTGAAAATAAATTTTGTGGCACCCAATATTAAAATCTTTAGATATTCAGTAGACAATGATGTTTGATATTTTGATTTTATATATTTCATTTTTAAAAAGTTTTGTTTGCAAAGGTATATAGAGACAAAAATAAAAATATGCCACTGTGCAAACTTGTTAATACTTAAATTCTCTTCTGACAAAGTTGTAAAAATTTAACAAACTTCCTTTTATAAATACACTAGGTTTTTATAAAAATAATTTTGCAGCAATGACATCTAATTGACTTTTGAAAAGTTTATGTGTTTCAAATGAGTACAAATGATGATAAAACGTGTTGGTGAAAAGCTTTGCCAGCCAGATAAATATTCAGAAGCTATATTTGGCTTGTGAGTTGTATATTGGAGACCTGATGAATTAAAGTATTGGAAGATTAAATACAAATACTATTATAGAAGTAAGTGGTCTCATTAATTCATACTAGCATATATGCTAGCCCATAAACTGATCAAAGATTTTCAACTCAAAATTCTGATATTCTAAACTCACTGAATAAGTAGTTATATGTAGTAAGTTAGGTAAAGATATTTCCATAAGTCCAGCTTCTAGATTTTTTTTGGGGGGCTTAAAAAGTCAACTTACAAAGCATCTTGTACAATATAGTTACAAGACAGAAACATCAACTAAGTCATATTGTAAATTATATTAATTACAATATAGAATGTAATAATCCAAAAGAAATTAAGCAATATTTCAGGTTTTTAATCCAACTTTTTATCTACAGTATAACCAAAATTTTTTATGAAAGATTTAGTTATATTGCTATAAAATTGCTATATTAGTTATAACTAAAGGACATTCAATAGAAAAACAGAAAAGTGTCATTAAAAGTTGGAGGATGAGAAACAGCACAGTAATTTTGATACACTTCCAATCAGAAGCAACATTGCTGATGCCACTCCAGCAGTGCATGAAGCAAGAGCAGTATAGTGTTGTAATTTTTGACTAAAACCAATCAATATCCATTGGCACATCAGTAAGGAAATTACTTCATGAGTTGCACACAGGTGTATGAGTAGAGTTCAGAGGTTCCAAAAACATTCACAGTTCTGTGGAAGATTCTCTATGGCTGGGAATGCAGAGAATGATATGGAGAATCTTCCACAGAACTGTGGCAGTTTTTGGAAACTTACATCTACTTGTACATCCATATGCAACTCATGTTGTTGTCTCCTTACTGTACCTGCATATGCCAATGGATGTTGATTGGTTTTTTTGTCAAAAGTAAAGACAATACTACACCAAACTTGCTTCATGACTGCTGGAGAGGGACCGTCATTTTACAATCCATGTCTTATATTCTTGCACATCAACAGTATTGCCAGTTGCAGTTACTGTTGCCTCTGACTAGGTGGTGTCGTGTCAAATTTACTATGCTGCTGCTCATCCTCCTGACTTTTAATGAAACTTTTCCAGTTTTCTGTTGAACATGCCTTGTATTTAGAAATAGTTATTATACTTATTTGATTTTTTAATATATTGTATTGCTTAAATAAAATGACTTGTAATAACATGGAAATTTCACTATTAATATGAAATACAGTAAACTAATTACCAAATTTGTGGCCAACATGGCGTAGTTTTGGCACTCCCTCTGAAAAAAGATTACCTAACTGCATTGTGGGTTGTCTGCTTCCTTTAGCAGAAACTCCTCCTCCTGATGACTGATTTCCTAAAATTAATTATTAAAATATTAGGTAAGTAAATATATATATAAAAATATTTCAATGTAATAAAAATTTTAAATAAATTGAAGTAACTGCTAAATCTGAAGACAATTAGATTTAGATTTGTTACTTACTACAACCCCCTGCCAAAAGTATTAGATCACCCATCAAAAATATTGATTTTGTTTATTGATTAGTTTTAATTACATATTACTATTTTCAGTTACATTTTACAAATTTCCTTTTAATTTTTTCCTCAAAATTCAATATTTATTTAACAGAAAAAAAAAATCACACAATAGATTTTAATGTTTTTTAACATTAGAAAAAAACTTAAATCATTTGCAAGTGTGAGACTAAATTTTAGATCAGCAAAATTCCTCGACAAAAATATTAGACTACACTTGTTTAAAATCTAATACAACCTGTTATTAAAGTTGCAGTTCAATTTGGTTGATTGCATTGCTTGCATGTAACCTCAAGGAGCCACAGAAATTTCATGTTTAATTTAGATCTTAACTTTTGAGCAAAAACTGATGCAATACTTTGCAGTTTCCTAAGTTGGTCATGGAGAGAGGCCAGGTGGCATGCTTTTGAAAATCATATGTGGGCGAGATATAATTTGAGCTCCACTTCAGCCAGACATTTACGTTTATTTTTAATTAGCTTCAAAAGGAGTGATTTTTCCATACACTGCAGGGTACCATGTAGACACACAGGAAAAGGCTCTCGTCCACCTATGATTTTCAAAAGCATGCCATGTGGCCTCTCTCTATGACCAACTCAGGAAACTGCAGAAATTAATAGAATTAAAGAATGGCATTTGATCTATAAGATATTGACACTCATTGGGTGTAATTTCATTCCCAACAACCTGTTTATAGCCAATTTCAATTCCTCCATGTTGCATGGTTTTTTTAGATACAGTGGGTGATCAGTTAATGAACATAACCCATTCCAAGACTTTGTTCGCTAACTGATTATAGATTTATCATAGGTTTTTATGGGAATTTGATTAATTCATTCTGGAGACCTCAAAAATTAAAAAATATATACTTTCTTACTATGTTTATTTATATGTAATAATAAAAATACATATATACACATTGCAATTTTTATTAGTCATGTTTTTTCCATTTGTGGGAGTTGATTGCTTTTCTCTCTTCTTCAAAATTTTTCAGAAGTAATTAATAGCATTGTAATTGTAGAGATCCTAAAGCCTATTAATCTGAACCTGGTTTGGATGCCATTATAAGACTGTCATTCTGACATCATCCCACTTCTTCAAAAAAATGTGGCAGATATCAACATTAATTCTCTTTTTCAGAAGAAAATATATCTCGCTGAGTTTCTTGATGTTCTTCATTCAAGAATTCTTGGCATTCTTCTGTCGTCAGATCAGTTTCAGGTTCCATTATCAATGTTCTTTATTTCTCTAATGAGATTTTTGTTACTCCTTAAGCTGCTTGAGTCTTCTTGATAATACAGTATCTTTCTTAGATAAGATTGAACTGCAGCCTACTGTAGACATGTTCAAGTCATACTGCCCAGCAACAACAGACATCAGACATCTGCCCACTTTCTACCTTTGCTATTATACTCTCACCTTTCGAAAATAAAAACCTACGCAAAACTTAACGAGTACCTGCCTGACAGTCTTACGAATACTATAAAAAAATTGTTTCTGTCAGAAAAATAAAAGGCTGAAATTACAAGGGAGAGTTTCAAAGTTTGGAGGTAACTATCCGATTAGTATATACCAGGTTGAGCGTTGATGTCAATATCTCCCGCGATCCGAAAAGTTTCGAATTGTTGTCTGAAGACAAGAGAAGACCAATCAGTATTCATTATTTTACATTGCTTCTTGTGTTTGTTCTGTGAGGTGTTCGTTATCTGATCATGTGTTCACTGCCCGAATATAAAAATCTTTTGCGAAAGTGTTTGTTATCTGATCATCCACTGTATTTCTATTAATTTCTTTTAAGCAGTTCATGTTTCAATGTAAACCAGACTTATCTGCTTACCCAAATGAAATAAATGACTCAGCCACATTAGTTTGCTATCAGTTATTTTTTAGATTCAATGACAAGTCTTATAAACAAAAGAAAGGGGTCTCAATGGAAAGTCCTATTTCAGGATTTTTATGCAAACCAGTACTAAATAAGGTCGAGAAAGATATCCTCAGATATTTCATAAAAGACATCTTACTCTATAAAAGATATGAATGATGTATTCTGAATTTAGAAAAATAACTGCAGGGTTCAGGAGTTTTTGAGTGGTTAACAACAACAGACACAGTTTGAACCTAAAACTATAACAACAGAGCACTAATTGTCTGCACTTCCTAGACATTAATATCCAATTTATGAATGGAGATATTTATACTGATGAATACATTAAATCAACTTATACTCTTTGTGCATCCCATCATGGTCTAATGACCATTACAAGTATAAACTTTCTGCATTCAGAGCACTGGTTTGAAGAATCTTTTTGCATTATTCCAATATACAGGACAGCTTAAAAGAAATTAATAGAATTAAAGAAACTGTAACAACTTTAGGATATAAAATATCCACTATAGAAGGGCTCATCAGGAGTTATGAAGAAAACAAAGACAAGTCTCCAAAAACATCAATAGAATCAATAAATTTACATACAACAAACAGTTGTGAGGCACTATAAATGAGCTGACAACTTACAAAAACTCAAGGATAGTTTACAAAAAAGCTCGTAATATTTACAACTTACTGAGGAATGATAAAGACAACTAAAGAAAGAAGAACAAGCTGGAGTATACAAAGTACCATATAAAAATCAACAGTTAAGGGCCAAAAAAGATTATGTTGGAGTCACAAAAAGAAATGTTATGGCGCAACTCAAGGAACACAAGTACAGTGTAAAAAAGGCCATAGTAATACAATTTTAGTGGCAATGTCACAGATGGAAGACTCTGTTATATGGTAGAATGAATCAAACATTACTAAAAAAAAGTACATTCTCCAACCATAGCTATGAATGTGGAAAGTGAAAAAAATAGATATATACAAGAGCAAGATCAAAGAGTAGTGCCTAAATGCGAGGGGTGCAAATGCATTACCTTCTGCTTGGAAATACATTATTGAAAAAAGATTAAGACATAAAAATCCCTGAATTCTGTGTCCCTCTATAATCATCTTTGGCTTTTGTATTATATTTTATATTTTTTTAATTTCATTTTTATTTGTATTTTATTAACCTTATGAGGTTAACAATAAATAAAAATAATTTTTTTTTATTGTTAACCTCATATTTTTCATAATTTATTTATTTAATTCATTTAACTTTAAATTTGTATTTAGAATACTTCAAAAGTTAAAATTTAAACAAAACATTTTATTTGTTCTAAAAATGGATTTAAAAACCTGATGATGGCCTGTGGAAGTAGTCTGAAAACATTTGTTAATAAAAAAATTCTCTCAGCAAATGCACAGGTGTTGTTGTAAGTTTATAATTTACAAAAAACAATTGATTCAATCACTAACAGGCATCTCCATATATGCCTGAAAGTGTCACTTCCAAAAAATATTTTAGGCAATAAATTTATGTGCAGCCAGCATTCAACAATGTTGCTTGGCTGGATTTGTAAATGTTTTGCTGCTTTATGAACTATACGGGAACTATAAAATCTTCTGTAGTCTCTGTGTTGTTCAAAATGCAAAAAATGGTAAAAGGCTAGGACTGCAAGTATGCTGTATGATCTCCAGAAATGACAAAATGGAACAGCTGTATGGCAGATTGCCTGGTAAATGTGTTTGAACAAGTTTACTGTCAAAACCTGCCTCAGACACTGTGACAAAACCAATTCTATCATGCTTGAATACAGTAATAATGACAAATCACCAATGACTAGTCAGGGAAGATTGAATTTTATGTCTTCTTTTCATGACATACTAACCTGATACATTTGTGGAAGTTGTAGACTGTGGAGTGATTGAATAGGCCAATCTGTATCTTGACAAACTGCTAGCAAGAGGTTACATTTACATGACAAGAGTTACAATTTGTACAAGATTAAGCAAAATCCTATTTTCATACCAGTTCAGCAAAAGAGGTTTGCATGGGCTAGAGTCCTCCTATCTTGGACAAAAGCTCAAGGCAGAGTGTGATTTGGTCTGATGAGCCTCACTTTCCAGTTCTATATGGAAATATTGAACAGAGTCATCTTCTGGCTTGACTTCTTACTTCACCCAAAACTGTGTGAAGTAAGAATTCAAGTTTCCAAGCCCTGTTCAAATATGGGAGATGGTGTTTTGGATATTCTGGCATTGGTGATTTTGTTCAATATTATGGGACAGTCAATGTGCAATGCTACCAGGCAATTTTGCAACAGCATTTACTGCCTTCTGGCAAAATCTGCCAAGCCGCATACTGCAGGCTTCATTAGTGCTTGGCTTTGCCAAATTTGAGTCAAAGTTCTGGACTGGGCTCCAAATTTGCCTGATCTGAACCTAATCAAGAATTTGGTCTGTCCTCAAGAAAGAGGTACAAAAACACAAACCTAAATGAAAGATTAGCTGAAGACAGTTCTTCAGGAAGCATGAACCAACATTCCACAAGAACTTTACTGTGCCTAAGACACATCAATGCTTAGGCATGAAATATGTAGGACTGCAAGTTGGCTTCTAACACAGTCATCCAAACACAGTCTGTGTGAGAGGTGGTGTCAAAGAGAAATAGAATAATGGCACAATATGGAAGTTCTGAAACATTTATTGCAATACATCCAGTACATATGGCCAGAGTTCCATGAGAGTGAAAAGTGGGATTTGCTGCACAACAATGTGCCAGCAAACTGTGCAATCCTTGTGCAACAGTTCTTGGTTAGAATAGTGTGACTGTTTTGGATTACCTGCTATATTCCTCCAATCTTGCACCTACGGATTTTAGACATACCACATATGTGTGTTCCAATAATAATTTCAATAAATAATTATTTTTGTTTTATAAAAAGTTATCAGTACTATTTATCTGTAATGTAAATACTAAATTGTAATTAAATTACACACATATAGATTGCATCATTCACCAAGATTTTAGCAACAATAAAATAAATAATAGAACTGAACAACAACTTTCAATCCAATATTGACTTTTTAATGAAAACAAAATATTTTTGGATAACTGTTGACATTTCTGAACAAAAAATTTTAAATTAAAAAAAAGAATGCATTTTCTATAAAATAAAGATTTGTTTTCTTACTCAGAATATATTTATAAAAGCTTAATTTCAATATACACAAATTCATAAACAACTATAAAATTNGTCGAATCCACTCTTTCCGTCGGTTACATTTCTGAGATTTTCCGAATTCTGATTTACGAAAAATCATCTGTTTTTCATGTGGGAATACATGAAAACTTATATCGGGATCGCGTATGGCTTTGGAATTACAATTTGGAACACAACAGAAAGCTTTACTTTTACTTTTACTATTCATCTCTACTGTTGACAATATACGAAGAACATTCAAACGACCCAGATAGAGTAATTCTGTTTTTAAACACCAGAGGGTGAGCATCCAGTGAAAAACACGAATATTGTTTCAATGAAAATTAACAGTATATAAGCAATTTTCTAGTCCCAGATATAAATTTATACTAAGGGAATTCTCTTTTCAGTATAAAGATTTTCTTGCCATTTCTAAAATACAGTAGAACCTATGAAAACAGAAACCTGCCTAAATGGAAAAATTCTTTGAAACAGAGCAATAGTCTATATTGACAAAAACTTGTTTAGAATGGAAATCTGTCAAATGAGAAAAAACATTTGATATCATATAATTCCACTTTACACAGTTTTATTACATAAAACTATTTACTTTAAATAATGTCTTCAATGCAACTATTTCAAGCAATTAAATAAAATTTAAATAAATGAATAATTCTATGGCAATACAAATGAACTGGGTCTAATTGTAATAAAAACTGTCCACAAAATGTTTGTATCTCTAGTTGAAAATTTTTTATTAGTGACTAATTTTTTCAATCTTAAACAGATCTTCAGGTCTGAATACACAACCGAATTAGAACATACTACAGTAGAACCTCGATTATCCACCCTAATTGGGGACTGGGGTTGGTCGGATAATTGAAAAATGTTGACATATATTTCTAAAGATGTCTATATAATTAATTAGCTAAAACATTTTTTTTTATACTTTTAACATAACTTTGTAATAGAATAAACTAAAAAAAATAATTTATTAATTTGTTTTCAAATACAATAGGAAGTGTCACGGGACAATTGATTTCCTCCCCAATTCAATTATTAAAAAAAAAGACTGTTTTCTCTATTAAAGCAATTTTTCCTTTTAATATTTATTTGCATTAAAAAGTCATTACTTGTTTTTAAAAAAATGTAATTTATTTAGTATCCAATTAAGAATTTACAATTTATTAAATTAACAGAAATATTTCAAAATACCAATAATAGGGCCACTCTTGTCATTAGTAACTGCTTTCTTTAATCGAGTGCCTAATCTGATTTCTTGTAGTAGTGCACTTCTATCTGCTCCTGTTTTCTCTGGCCTACTTGTATCAACAGAAGTTGCTGGTAGTGGTGGTGCAGGGGGTGGAGGAGGAGGTGGTGGTGGTGGAGGCATGGTAATATAAACTATGATTTATAACACTAAAAATAAAAATAGCAATTAATAATTATAATAAATGAATTGCTGTTTATAATTAAAAATTTATTTCAAATTTTAACAGAATTCAAAAGATGACAATATAATCTAATTCATAAATAATATGTAATATATTAGAGTTTGTGCATGACATATTTTATGTTATATTTACTGGGCATTATAATTAAAAACACACAACATTAGATGACATTTGCACATCCAAGCCTGTTATGTTGTAAAAATATAGCAAACATGGATGCCATTGAAGCTCTAGCTTTGTTTTCTCCTGAAGATATTGAAGATTATGTTGTTAATAATTAAATAATTAACAGACGATAACTAAAAGCAAGATTGCAAACACATATACTGAAGTTAAAATAATATACCTGACAAACACCAAGCACACATTCTTATGTGAGCCTACATAATGACAATAAAATGATATCAATAAAGGATCAAATATGATTGATTCTGCACTTTTATAAAATAAACTTCTAACATAAAACTATTCTTATGCTTATAATGGTACATTATGCATAAAGTTATAATAAACATCTTTATAACAAAATATGTGTGCAAACACTATTCGTGTTTTTCATGAACTATAGAGGGCGCTGTATTTTTACAAAATGGCTACTCTATCTGGGTTGTTTGTTAGTCGTCAATGTAAAATGAATTATATATTACTATCTGATATAATGAAATATGCTACTTGTAGCAGTTCATCGAGAAATTTTATAGAAGGAGAACAAGTATTACTAGCAGGACACGTCATTTTATGTGGTATTACCGAGAAAAACGAGCAAGATCGTTCTGTACATTTTTGTGCTCTTTGTCTGCAAACATCAGCATTGACTTTTATCCCACACAAAATTACTGGAATTTTAAAGTTTATCGACATATCATATAAAATTGAATAGAATTACATTTTATTGAAGATAATCCTATA